AAGCCCTCACCGCCCCACTCTGACTAGTGCAGGTTGCTGGTGTCCAGACGCAGTTAAACAGCACTGTTCTCAACGACACAGTTCAGATGACCCTAGCCAAGCGTTAATCACTGGCAGTTGTGTAACATGAACTTTGTAGTTCCTCCCCCTTGGATCTCAGTAGGCATGACAGGTTGTGGAATAACAGGTTCCGTGTAAGCGGCAGCCAGTCCTGTCATGCCCCTGCCTCCTGTGCCGGGTTCCGATTAGTCGCTGTAGTCACCAAGTGATGAAACCAGCTAACCCACATAGTGTCTCACACTCTTCCGCTCTTCGGAAGAGCGGAAGACACAAGTGCGGGCGAGCGAGGAATCAGGACGTGGCAGTCACATTTGCGTGGGACTAAGTGGATGAAGGAAGGAAGAAGAGCTGACCCTCTAGGAGCCTTGTAGCTGTCCCTATTGTAAACTTCTGACTGCAGTGCGGGAAACTTCCCAAATGATCACGGCTAACAGCAGAGAGAAAGCTGTTCTCAGGATGGAGAGGTCCCAGAGAAGGGCCTGCACCGTGCCAGTCAAGGGCCCTACACTGAACCATGAAATCACTTCCAGTCCCCTGTCCACATCTGGTGAGCAGCCTCCCCTACATTGGTTGGGTTCTAGATTCATCATATAAAAGGGATCACGCAGTGTGTGGCCTTGTGTGACTGGTATATTTCACTCCGTGTAATCTGATTTTTCTCTGAGATGTCAGTTTACAGATAATGACATGGAGCTCAGCCTTAGCTTAGGCTTGTCCCACTAACCCTTATAACTTAAATTAACATACTTTTATTAATCTAAATTTTACCATATGGCTTTTTACCTTTCTTTCCATACTACCCATGTTGGTTCCTCTGCCTTTCTTCTTCCCAAAGTCCTCTCTGTCCCCGGAAGTCCTGCCTAACCTCTTCCTGCCTAGCTATTGGACATTCAGCTCTTTATTAGACCAATCAGAAGGTGCCTTGGTAAAGACATCTTCCCAGTGTAAACAAATCTCCACAATAACTCAGCACAGCATAGGTTCATGCAATTAGGGCAGAAGCAGTAGATCTCACTGTGTGACTGTACTGTAGTTTACTCAGCCATTGATGAACATTTGAGATTTATTTTCTACATGTTGGTGTAGGAGGTCCTTCTATATTTGTGTTGATTTCATTGATTGAATAAAGAAGCTGCCTTGGCCTTTTGATAGAGCAGCCCTTAGGTGGGTGGAGTAGACAGAACAGGAGGCTGAAAAGAAGGGAAGTGTGGCAGACGCCATGATTCTCCTGCTCGAGACAGACGCTGATTAGACTCATGCTGATAAGCCACAGTCAAGTGGCAATACACATTAATAGAAATGGGTTAATCAAGATGTGAGAGTTATCCAGTAAGAGGCTAGAACTAATGGGCCAGTCAGCAATTTAAGTAATACAATTTCCATGTGGTTATTTTGGGTGTAAGCCAGTCAGATGATGCGGGATGCCGACCCACCGCTCCATGCTCCATACAACATGTCTCTAAAAAGATGTATTTGCCAGGCAGTGGTGGTGCACGCCTTTAATCCCAGAATTCAGGAGGTAGAGGCAGGTGAATCTCTAAGTTCAAAGTTAACCTGGTTTATAGATTGAGTTCCAGGACAGCCAGGGCTACACAGAAACCCTGACTCAAAAAACAAAACAACAAAAAAGATGTATTTTATGTGTTTATCTGCATACAGTACCTGTGAAGGCCAGAAGAGGGCTTGTATCTCTGGTACTGGAGTTACAGATGGTTGTGAGTCACCATAGGACTGCTGGGAACTAAACCGGAGCCCTCTGCAAGAGCAGCAAGTGCTCTTAACCACTAAGCCATCTCTCCAGCCCCCTCTTCTACCTTTTAACTATAATGAATAATGCCACCTTAGGGCAGAGGTGTGTAGCTCAGTGGCAGAGCTCATGCTTCTGTGACATAAAATCTTTTCTTCAGTCCCTAGTACCGCATAGAAATAACGCTGTTAAGAAAGGCTCTTGATAAATCTTTGCTTGGCCGTCAGTTTTCAGTTCTTTAGAGTTTATATGTAAGAGTGGAATTGCCAGGTCAGAAGTAAATCTATGCCTGGAAGTCATAAACGTGAAATACTTAGCTGGGTGTGGTGGTCCATGCCTGTGATCCCAGCATTCAGAGATCACGAGTATGAGGCCAGCCTGGGCTACAGTAGTAAGACCCTGTTCAATTAAAAAAAAAAAAGGTGAAGGTAGCAGAAAAGAGAAAGGGAAGAGGAAAAGAAGAAAAGAAAAAAAAAACATGTATATTTTGAAATCATCATGAACCTTTAGGTGTCTGGTGTCGCTAGAGAAGAACAAATCTCACCCGGGAGGAGCTAGCAGATGCACGTGAGGATGTGTGTGCCTGGACAGGTGGTCTCACAGAGACTCTAAAGAAGTGTGTGGTCGCCGTGGGCTTTGGTCTGGGTGAGCGTTTAGGAAGAGATGTCCTTGCCTGACACTCAGTCAGTTGTGTTCATCCTGTTGTACCCAAACAGTGGCCAAAAACGTCAGCATTAGGCAGGGACACACCACAAGCCTAGTAAATACAGACACGGTGTCTTATTGTGTAGCCAAGGCTGGCATAGAAGTTAGTGTGTACGCCATTCTGGCCTCTTGTCTCTGCACCCTGAATACGGGTATCCCAGCTGTATTCTGCAGGTTCTCACTATATAGCCCAAACCAACTTCAAATTTGCAATCGGGGAAGGGGAGATGGCTCAGTGGTTAGGAGAACTGTCTAAACTTGCATTGGGGTTATGTTCCCAGCACTCAACTGGGAGCTAACAACCATCTAGAATTCCAGTTACAGAAGATGAGGATCTGACACCCTCTTCTGGCCTCCTTGGGCACTGCGTGCATGTGGTACACAGGCTTCTATGCAGACAAAATACTCATCCACATAAAACATAAATACATTTGCGGTCTTCCTGGTTCAGATCTTTGCTGCTATAGCTCATACACTTGCTCCTATGAGGTGCTGAGTTCATTTTGATATATGATGTGAAGTATGGTTTGGTTTGTTTGTTTTTTAACTTTGAGGCTGGCTCTCACCTCGTAGTCCAAGCTGAAATCGAAGCTGGCGTCACGCTTTCAATCTTCTTATCTTAGTCTCCCAGGTGGTGGGATTGCAGGCACGCAACACCACAGCCACTCCAAATTCATTCTTTTCTGTGTAGCTATTCTAAAGGGAGGTCTCAGAAGTGGTTGTTCTTTGGTTCAGCCCCCCCACATGGACCCTGGGAGCTTTTGAGGGGAAAAAAAAAGCCCTGTACGGTCTCCATTAAATATTCACCACCTGGGCCAAAACACAGAGACTACAGATTCTCAGGTCTCACCATGCAAATGCAACAGCCTCAGTCCACAGCAGATCCAGGGCTACAGCCTCAGTTCTCCAGTCAGAACTATGTGTGTGACGGTATGTGCACCAGCGTGTGCATGTGTGTGTGTGTGTGTGTGTGTGTGTGTGTGTGTGCGCGTGTGGGCAACAGGATCTTACTACACTGACCTGAAACTTGTTATGTAGACAAGGTGGACTCACATTTGTAGCCATCCCTCTGCCTTTACTTACCCATGTGCTGGGGCTATGTCTATATGCCAGCCCACCTGGTTCCGTTTTGTTTTGTTTTTGTGTTTTGAGACAGGTTTCTTTGTGTTCCTGGCTGTCCTGGAACTCACAGATATCTGCCTGCCTCTGCCTTTGAGTTCCGGGATTAAAGGCATGCGCCACCACCATCTGGCTTTGGGGTTTTTTGTTTTGTTTTGTTTTGGTTTTTTGTCTTTTAAAATCCTGCCCTTTTCTCCGGTGCTCAGAACACAATCCAGTTCCTGGGCCCTCCTCTGCTGCTGTTGCAATTCATCAACAGACTGCGTAAACACCTTTTGCCTGAGGGTGAGCTTGGGTGTCATTTCAGGCCAGTGTTTATGTCCAGCTGATCTAGCTGAAGATTGTCTTTGCCCGTTGGAATGGTCTTGGCCTCTCTAGGAACCATCACCCATAAACACGAGAATTGATTTGGGAATTGTTCTGATGCAATGCCCTGCATGCCTATTCTTCAGCAGTCCCTCTCGCTTTGTTTTTATTACTGTAGAATTTGGTCCCTTCAGCTCTGCTCTGTAGTGAGTTTTGAAATGGTGTGGAGTGATGCATCCAGCCTTTCCAGAGTTGTCTGTTAGGCTTTATGTTTGCTGATGGATTTTTGGTTTTAGGTTTTTTGTTTTTGTTTTTTACATTTATTTGTTTGTTTGTTTGGTTTGGTTTTTTGAGGCAGCGTTTCTCTGTGTATCTCTTGCTGTCCTGGAAATTACTCTGTAGACCAGGCTGGCCTCAAACTCGCAGAGATCCACCTGCCTCTGCTTCCCACATGCTGGGATTAAAGGCGTGCCCCACCGCCGCCCACCACTGCCCGGTGACAGATTTTATTCTACGGCTCAAGCTGGCCTAGAACTTGGTGGTGGTCATCCTCCTGCCTCTCCTCTCAAGTGCTGGGAGTATGCACCACCACATAGCTACCCCCTAGCCTTTCTTTTTCTTTACATTTTGTTTGTGGAAGAAATGGAGTTGCTGGCTGTGTAGCTCCTGTCAGTTTGGGTTTGTGAGCTGTAACTCTGTGGTGTCATTTACCAGGTTCTTCAGTCCCATGCGTGGCAATCCAAGGGGGGGGGTGAGGTTCCAGGCTAGGCTTGTTGTGGTATCAGGAATGCTCTGTGTGTGTGTGTCTGTGTGTGTGTGTGTGTCTGTGTGTGCACGCGCACACACATATGTGTGTTTCTTGAATTGGAACGAATGGGAGTCTGGGTTGCTGGTCTCTGTGTTGTCCTCTGTTGGTGACCTTCACTTGGGTCATTTTGCCCTTGGAGGTGATGGGAATTTTAAAGGGCCACTGTGCGGGATAGAGGTGACTAAGGGGAAGAGCCACGCAGTAAAGCACCTGGCAGCAGCCTGGTGCACAGTGACACTTTATTGTTGTTGTTAGACCTGTGTGGGACACAAGTCCCTGGCTTGGAGCCATTTTCAGGCCTAGGCTGTCTGCCCTTCTCCTCTACCCCTGGAGGGGAAGTCTGCAGCGCCTGTGGACCTGGGAGGCATGCTCAGGAGCATAGCAGCCATCTCAACACCCCTGGTGTGGCCGCTCTGGGAAAGGAAGGCTGGAGCCTCGCTCACCCTCGCCCGGTGTTCGCACCAGACTGTAAGTGCCCTGCATAGCTCCCCACCACGTCCATGGCTGGGGATCCCGGGGTCAGGCTTGGCCCTGCCTGTAGGGCTGTGCATGCGTCTACTCCTGCTTCTCTCATCTGGAGCTCAGCTTTGTGTGGACACTCGGTCTGTCAGCTGCTGCCTGCACCCCATTACCCCAGTGCCCAGCCTAGCTGATAGCACACAGTAGGCACACAGTACATCTTGGTTGGCTGGCTGTGTTGTGCATGGCTTGAGGACAGCACTGCTCTCCCATCTCAGTACTGACGGCCATTCGCAAAGGCACCCTCTTGAATACCCCAAGTTTCTCTTCTTCTCAAATCCATTCAACTCCACTCATTTCTGTTCATCTGTAAGCTTGTGCCCTTGTCCCCCGCATCTTCCACACCTCCCCACCCCAACCTAACCCCCCTCAGGCCGGCCTCTGTCCCTCAACACACATGTTCTCTCGCTCTCTGCTACATCCCAGTCCAATACCTGTCCATGCCTTTGGCTTTATGCCATTGTCAACAGGGAGAGGTTCCGCTCCTGTATATGGCTTAGAAAAACGCCAATAAATCAGAACTATAAGTTATAGACAGGCTCAAATTGAGAAGAGAGGCAATCTGAAGGATGCACTTGTTAGAATCAATCAAAAACAAACAAGCAAAAGAGCCAGAAATAAAGACAGTCAAGGCCTGAGAGATGGCACATCAGCTGAAGGTACCTGCCACCAATCCTGAAGACTGGACTTTGATGCTTGGGGCTCACATTGTAGGAACTAAGAATTTGACCCTCGCAGATTGTCCTCTGACCTCCACACACATGCTGTAACATATGTGCCCCACACACAAAATAAATAAATGATAATTTAAAAAAAGACTAAGCCAGGCATGGTGGCACACACCTTTAGTCCCAGCACTCAGGAGGCAGAGGCAGGCGGATCTCCGGATCTCTGCAAGTTCAAGGCCAGCCTGGTCTACAAGAGCTAGTTCCAGGACAGCTAGAGCTGTTACATAGAGAAATCCTGTCTCAAACAAAAAAAACAGAACAATAACAACAAAAACAAAATCTAGACCCCAGTAAATCAAATAATGTGATCTCTGTATGAAATAGAACACCAGATATAAACTGGGAAGTAGAAAAGCAAAAAGAGCGAGCTGGGGGCAGAGCCAGAGTCCCCATGAGAAAGGCTCTGTGAGCCCCTTGGTGACTCCCTTCCTGCACCTTCATCCCTACCTACGTGTGATCACGGAACTGAACATGCATCCACAAATGCATGCGTATTAGGGGATTCTTAGTTATTTATTATTTTTTTAAAGACATGGTGTCTTGTAGCACGGGCTGGCCTCAAACTCAGCCCCCACTTCCCCCTCTGACGTACGGGGGTGACAGGTCCCAGCCACCATGCTTGATTATGCAGTGTTGGAGAACACACCCAGGGCTTCTTGTGTGGGAGGCAAACACCCTACCCACTGAGCTACAGCCCCGGGTTTTTGATATTGGTATATTGTATCGCTAACATTCTTCAAAATTATGGCTGTCTCCTACATTTTTCAATCATAAAAGTAAAATATTTAGCTGGACATAGTGGTTCGCATCTGTAATTCCAGCTCTTGGGAGGCTGAGGCTAGAGGATTGCTGTGAGTTCAAGGCCAGCATGAACTTCTTTACAAATTCCAGGCCAGCCAGAATTACAAAGTGAGACCCTGTCTCAAAACACAATAGCAACAAGAATAATAAAATATGTAGCCAAACATGATGGTCCATACCTATAATCCCAATACTTGGGAGAATGAGGCTCACAAGTCTGAGTCAGCCTGGACTATAGAGTAAGAATCCTGTCCACTCCCCCAAAAAAGTCAAAGAAAATTTGTTTAATAAAATTTGAAAAAATATGCCAGACTGTGGTGGTGCATGCCTTCAATCCCAGCAGAAGCAGGCAGATCTCTGTGAGTTCAAGGCCAGCCTGGTCCATCCACAGAGTGACTTCCAGGAGAGGCAGGACTACACAGAGAAACCCTGTCTCGAAAAACAAACAAAAAATTGAAAAATATGGGAGGCAGAGGCAGGTGGGCCTCTGAGTTCAAGGCTAGCCCTGTCTACAGAGTTCTAGACTAGCCTGGGCCACGTAGTGAGAACTTGTCTCAAAAAATACATAAATGAATAGAAAAATAATAATTGCAAAGAAGAAATTTCAAATGTCTGCTGACCAACATACTAAAGAAAATCAGTCCTGACATTTGATTACGCTGAGGTAGTCTCCTCAGGACCACGCTCTTGTCATCTCGGTGCTCGACAGTGAGCATTAGCCCCAGTGACACCGTCCAGGAGTCAGTGGAGGGTAGGGCCCAGGGCTGCCGAGATGCTGTGTGCCAGGCCCCAACTCGTTCCCCTCCCCACGAGGCTCAGGCTGCTGGGAAACCTTCCATACCACACATGGCCTAAGGCTTCTCCAGGGCAGGGCCTGGTGCCAAGATTATTGCCGCAACCGCTGTGTCAGGATCTGCGTTAGCTTCTCCTCTGAGCCCCTGTGTGCCTCATGTCTTCATATTCTGTGCACAGATGAGCAGGTCGTCTCTGGTGGGTGCTGTGGGAACTTAGCAGATCCTAACCCACAGTCATGATTTTCTACTGGTCACAGTGGGTGGCCTCCAAGTGTGGGAGTGACCTAGCATCACTCCCTCCTGGTCCTGAGTGAGCAACCTCCTCCCCAGAGTTGGAAGTCTTGGTCAGTTTGTTGTGTGACCTTGAATACACTACCCCCTATGCCCACTGCAAGCTCTTGTCTGCTCAGGGAACCCAGCCCAATCATCCTAAGTGTATGTATAAGCCTAGGGTGTCCTTTGCTGATGTGAGGAACCATTGTTGCTGGCACCACCATTCTCCCCTCCTTCCCTTCCTCTTCCTCAGCCCTTTGGGAGTCACCTGTAACCTAGCCATCACGGCTGTATCTCAGGACACACAGAGTCAGCACTGGTGCACCCCACCCTCACAGCCCCCCACCCACACCCCCAGTGTGTGGGAGAGGATGAAGTGTGAAGGAGCCCTGCAGGAAGCCAGCAAGAGTAGGCTGGGAGAGCAGGTTCCAGTCAGCCTGGCTTCCTGAGCCTTGGGGGCTCCACCCAGTCCAGAAAAGCAGAGGGTGGGGCTGGAACCTTAAAGCCACTAGCTGGGGTTGCTCCCACTCCATAGGAGATCCCCACAGTGGACTTCCCTTCTCTCTCTCCAGCTCATCATGGCCAAACAACTGCAGGCTCGAAGGCTGAATGGAATCGATCACAACCCCTGGTGAGCTGGCAGGATGGGACGGGGTCTGGGTGTCCCGGATTTGTAGTAACTCAGTGTGTCCAGGATAGGTAGTGACAGCCACAGCATGGGAGAGGCAAGACCCAAGGTAGCAGGCTAACCTTACATCTCAGCCTTCCCCTGCGTGGCTCAGTGCTGAGCAAGAGACTCACTGGTTCAAAATGGAGATGATTTTACCTCCTTGAAGGGCCTTGTGAACTAGCAACAGTGCTCCAAGTCGGGCACCAGGCCATGGCTCCCACGGGTTGTAACTGATCCCCTGCTCCATACCCATGGCTTCTGCACCCTGGGGATTCAACCAATTGGAGACCAAAAGCATTTTTTTAAAAAATGCATCTTGTGACTGGAGAGATGGTTCACAGCAGGTATGAGTGCCTGCGGCATATGCTAGAGTACCTGGATTCAGATCCTAGAACTCATAGTTTTAAAAAGCTGGGCATGGCCTTGCCTATTTGTAAGCCTAGTGCTGTGGGGTTGTTGGGGCTTGCTGTTGAGTGCCCTAACTCCAGGTTCAGTAAGAGATCTTATCTCAGAGGAATAAGGAGAGAGTCATAGACCAAGACACTTGGCCACCTCCTCTGGGCTCTGCATGCATCTTCATGAGTACATTCAACAAAAATACACACATACACACATACATACACATACACAGAAAAGGAAAAACGCCCCTACAGAGCGTATAAAGATGGTTCCTCTTGCCCTCAGTCACCGAGCAATGCGGTGTAACAGCTGTTTACACGACACGTACAGTGACTGGAAGCTAGTCATCTAGAGATGAGGTGTATGGGAAGGGCTGGAAGAGACCTCACTACTCCAGGGCCTGTGTAGTGTGTTCAAGGCTCTGGATTTCATGCCCAGCATGGGGGAAGAAAGAAAAGGATGTGGGAAGAAGGCTCAGATCCTATGTAAATGCTATGGTAAGATACTTGAAGCCGGGCAATGGTAGCGCATACCTCTAATCCCAGCACTTGGGAGGCAGAGGCAGTCAAATCTCTGTGAGTTCGAGGCCAGCCTGGTCTACAGAGTGAGTTCCTGGACAGGCTATAAAGAGAAACATTGTCTTGAAAAGAGAGAGAGACAGATACAGAGAGAAAGACTTGATATTGGGCCAGTTTGGATATCCTGGATGGAGGCGGTCTGAAACCCATTTCTCCACAAATATTAAGGGCCAGCCTTCATTTTATTTCATAGGTGATTTGAAATGAGATAAGTTAAGAAAGTATGGTACAGAGGCTGGGGAGATGATGGCTCTGTGGTTAGGTGTTTGCCATGCAAGCATGAGGACTAGGTTCAGATCCCTGGAACCCATATAATTTGCCTGGTAAACAAGGCTCTTTGTAATTCCAGCCTTGGAAGACAGAGATAAGGGAATCCCAGAGCAAACTGGCTAGCAAGACTAGCCCTATTGGCAAGCTCCGGTTTCCCCGAGAGAGCCCGTCTCATTGAATCAGGAGGAAGAACAGAGCCTGATGCTCAACTTCAGTCTTATTCCTCCACCTGCATACACACGTGTGTTCACACATGTACACCCACACATGCAGACGTGCATATACACACATGCATACCACACACATACACCTGACAATGGGAAAAGAGAAGAAAGGGGGATGCAAGCCAATATTTCCCCCTTGGTGCTAGGGATGGGACCCAGGGCTCCTTGCTAGTGTTCTAATACACTTAGATATGGAAGGATTGTGTGATTGTGTGTTGTTATTACTGTTACAGTGAATGCAGTGGGAAGTTATTCAAAAGAGCTTTTTCTCTTCTTCTGTGCACATTAAGCCAGGTGCATGGACAGAGCTGTAGACTTGGAAAGTTACAGAGGTGGATGAGAGAACTCTCTAGAGAAACAGAACTGTAGAATGAATACACACACATACACACACACACACACACACACACACACACACACACACTTTATTAGAAGAGCTTACAAGCTGTGGTCCAGCTAACCAACAATGGCCACCTACCAACTGAAAGTCCAAGAATCCAGTAGTTTTTTAGTCCTTGAGGCTGGATGTCTTCAGTATACACCAGAATCCCAAAGAAGTACACTGTAGTGAGGGAATGGGTTTGCCAATGCGAGTGAGAGCCAACAGGCAAAGAGCAAAAGCTTGCTTTTATCACTTAGTTCTGTGTCCTCGGAGTGGCCCGGAGCACAGTGAGTCATACAGGCCACCAGGAGATGATGTGAGCCAAGTGTTTCACACTGTGCTGGGGACAGGTGCATTACAGGCTAGGAAAGCCCTCTGGGGCCTTTGAGTCATACATCACCACATCCCATTCAGCAGGTACCTCTAAAGTGTAAGGGCGGCTATGGTGTGGCTCAGGGGTGGAGCTTTGCCTGGCTTGCTCTCCAGCACAGAGGGGAAGGAATGGCAATGAGAGTTAGGGTCAGATAGGGGAGGCTGGAGCATGTGACACCCTAGAGTCTCCTACTTGTCATTCACATGGTTTTGAATATAAATGTTTCTTACCGTGGGTCATAGTCAAAGTTTGAAGTCTCCTGGGCTAAGTCCTATAATTGGTACAGGGCCTGACTGCCTTAAAATATGGGACTCGCACAGGTGGGTGTAGGGTGTGTTGTCTGTCTTTCTAGAGTCATCCCATGCATGTTCACCCTGCTCTGCAAACAGGCAGAAGTAATCCTGGGAGGTGACCTGGGACTGACTCTCTGTTTGTTGCCAGGGTGGAGTTTGTCAGACTGGCCAAAGAATATGATGTCGTGAACTTGGGCCAGGGCTTCCCCGACTTCTCACCTCCGGACTTTGCTGTGCAAGCTTTCCAACAGGCCACCAGTGGGGACTTCATGCTCAATCAGTACACCATGGCATTTGTGAGTCTCCTGCGTCTCCCGAAGGTCCTGGAGAACAGGCACTAACACCACATAGGTGTCAAGGCTCATATGGGGCACAACCCAGTGGGTTGACTTCGGCATCCTTCAGTTACTGAGAGTCTCCTATGCACTGTACCTCCGATCCCAGTGTGGAAGGCAGATTGGGAACCCTTCATGACCACAGCATCTGGTCCAGGGAGGGGAAGCTTCTAGGAGGAGGCGATGCTCCAGCCAACCCCAGAAAGATGGGTTGCTGGTTGCATGAGACTAACTCCCATCTGCTCTGTAAGGGCTGCACAACATAGAGAGTTGCCAACATTGGAGTGGAAGAGTGCCTTTGGTGGGGGCTGGGGTTTCGAGACAGGGTTTCTCTGTGGAGCTGTTCTGGGTGGAACTCACTCTGTAGACCAGGCTGGTGTATTTGGATTTTTCTTTGGGCCACAGACCAGCTCCCAAGTAAAGACAGACTTATTATTAATTTTGAATGCTTGGTCTTAGCTTAGGCTTTTTTGTTTGTTTGTTTGTTTTTTGCTTTGGTTTTTTTTGTTTTTAGAGACAGGATTTCTCTGCAGCTTTGGGGACCAGGCTGGCCTCGAACTCACAGAGATCCGCCTGTCTCTGTCTCCTGAGTGCTGGGATTAAAGGCGTGCGCCAACACTGCCCGGCTTCCATTAGCTCTTTTAACTTATTTTTTTAAAGGTTTATTTATTATATATACAATGCTCTGTCCGTATGTATGCCTGCAGGCCAGAAGAGGGCACCAGATCTCATTACAGATGGTTGTGAGCCACCATGTGGTTGCTGGGAATTGAACTCAGGACCTCTGGAAGAGCAGCCAGTGCTTAACCTCTGAGCTATCACTCTAGCCCCCCTCACACCTTTTAATGGCTATTTAGTTCTCTTCCATTGCCCAGATATGCCATGTTTTACTTAGTCCACATTTGTGGACTGCTTTCCACATCTGTTATATGTGTTGCCGTTTTTTCTTTAAAAGCGTGTATTTCTCTAAGATATATTTTTTTTAATATCTATTTTTGTTATTTTTAATTATGTGTGTGTGTGTATATGGGTATGTGCATGTGAGTGCCAATGCCCAGAAAGGCCAGAGGTGGCAGATTGCCCTGGAGCTGGAGTTACAAGTGGTTGTGATCTGCCTTGTGTGGGTGCTGGGAATTGAACCCAGGTCCTCTGAAAGAGCAAGGACCTCTTAACCACTGAGCCATCTCTCCAGCCCCTTAAGATAAACTTTCAGGTAAAATTAATGACTTGAAAGTTAAATGTGGTGGTGCATGCCTTTGATCCCAGCACCCAAGAATCAGAGGCAGAGTCTGTGAGTTTGAGACCACTCTGATCTAGATAGAATTTCAGGCCAGCCAGCGCCACCTAGTGAGACTCTGTCTGAAAACATTAATGAAGGCTGTATACAGTTGACATGTCTTGGTAAACTGCCTAGAAGTTAGGGTTGCTCATTGGCATCCTACCAAGAGGCTCTCAAAGAAATCCAGAAGGTTCTTTGCGTAAACCAAAAGAAAGCCACTAATAATGAAGAAGATGGCTTCCACTGGTGGCTGAGCATTTGTGTGTGATGCACAAGGCCCTGGATCTGATCGCCAAGAGGCGGCGACTCTTGAGCCCCGCGTATCAGCGGGTGTTAGTACCGTGCTCCCATGATGTCCCTCCAGTGTCTCTAGGCTGTTTTGTTCTGGTTAATTCTTTACAGACACGGTGCTCTTTACATATGCAGCACCACGCTCAGCTTTACCACCTGCCTGTTTATTCTTACATCAGGAGGCACATCTATGTCTCGCTGCTTTGGAAGGGCACGTGAAACAGTAGGCATCTTGGCCTCCTTCTCATGGATTGTGCTGTTTACGACTCTGTGTGTGAGACCTTTGCTTATGGCATCTGTTACTGGGACAGGTTTCATTTTTTGTGGTCCGTCTGGCATGATAAGTTACTGACTCAAGTTCTAGTCTCTATGTTAGCCACTCGGCTGAGCCTTGGATGTCTTGTGCATGTCTTCACCATCTCTCAATGGTTCCTGCCTGCCAACACAGTGTGCCCCACCTGCCTGCCAACACCGTGTGCCCACCTGCCTGCCGACACCGTGTGCCCACCTGACTGCTCGCACCATGTGCCCACCTGACTATTCTGACTGACTGCCTACCTGCCCCATGCGTCCACCTCCAAGTCTAACCACCATGATTATTCCTAACTGTGTACCGTAAGCACCAAGTCAGTTGGCCTGTATCAGAGTTCAGAAGGAGAAATAGTGTAGACAGACTTTTCTTTGAGTTTCACAAATATCGACATGGAGACTTATCATTAATTATAAAAGCTTTGCCTTAGCTTAGGCTAGGCTTGTTCCTAACTAGTTCTTATAACTTAAATTAGCCTATATTTTTTAAAGATTTATTTAGTATACAGTATTTTGTCTGCATGAATGCCTGCAGGCCAGAGGAGGGCTCCAGATCTCATTACAGATGGCTGTGAGCCACCATGTGGTTGCTGGGAATTGAACTCAGGACCTCTGGAAGAGCAGCCAGTGCTCTCAACTGCTGAGCCATCTCTCCAGCCCCTAACCTATATTTTTTAATCTACGTTCTTCCATGTGCTCATTACCTCATGTCCATTTTGCCCATCCTACTTCTTCCACATCTGACTGGCAACTCCTTTCTCCCAGAGGTTTCTGTTCCCAGAAATCCTGCCTAACCTCTTCCTGTGTAGCTAATGGCCATTCAGCTCTTTATTAAACCAATCACAGTGACACAACTTCACACAATGTAAAAGAATAGTCCACAACATTTCCCCATTTCCATCTAAATAAAAAGAAAAGTTTTAAGTTAATATGTTTATAATATTAACATATTAAGTTAACTTAATATGTTTAAGTCTAACATATGAAAACTATAAATAATAAGAATAATAATCAGGGCCGGGCGGTGGTGGCGCACGCCTTTAATCCCAGCACTTGGGAGGCAGAGGCAGGTGGATCGCTGTGAGTTCGAGGCCAGCCTGGTCTACAAGAGCTAGTTCCAGGACAGGTTCCAAAGCCACAGAGAAACCCTGTCTCAAAAAAAATAAAAACAAAAACAAAAACAAAAAAAGAATAATAATCAGGTAATAATTATATTTATAATGTCCATTTCATTTGTATTTGGCAAATTGAGAGAAAATATTCCATTATGAATCCTATCTTGGTGAATCCAAAGTTTTGTACCTAATTTACCCTCTATCACAACTAAAAAAAACTATAACTGTTTAGTCTTCAACTCCATCAAAGACCCAAGAAGGATATAATATTACCTAAATAACAGGAAGTGCAGAGCAAACAACTTCCAAATCTAAGAAATGACAGAAACATCTGATTGCTTGGATAATCAGGCAAAGTTCCTCTGCAATGCTTCCATGTCCATCTTTGGCCTACAGGCCTAGAATACCTGACAGGCTTTTCTGTGAAGCAGGAATTTTTGAAGGACTGTCCTACCTGTCTTGGCAAAGTTCAGCAGTCACCTTCTTTTGTATCCTATTTGTCCAGGTTGGACTGCATACTATCAGCAGTTGAGGCAAGGACAGTTTCTTGCCCAAATGACTAGCTTTTGCCACAAAGAAAGCAAACTTCATATGGAGGGTGTTCGTTATCCTTTTTTTGAAGTAGAATAGTGCTACCAGAAGCAGACGTGTCTCACTGTCACAAAAAGCCTTATATTATTATAACATTTTAAATGCTATATTCTGCAGGTCTTTAAAATGTTTGAAGATCACTTATCTAAAAGATATCTCTGTATGACCTTGAAAACATACCTAACATGACTATTAGTTTGATGGTTTTAGATGACTAACATTTAACCTATATCTTTTTATTATCCCAAATAGTTTTCAAGGATAAAATCTTTACATTAAATTTTTTAATGATCTGGATAGGTATAATACCTTAAACACAAATAGAAACATATACAGTATAACTAAATAATCTTAAATTTGTATCATTATACAAAAATCTATACCAATGTAAAGTATTTGAGACTAGTAGTTGATTTTGAGTTTGAAAGTAGATTCAATAATCTACCCTGCTATCTTATATCATGCTCCCCTTTTTTCCCTTCAGAAAGAGATCCATGAATCTAATTTCCTTTCTAATTTCAGCTTTTTGTTTGTTTTTGTTTCTGGGTTGGTTATTTCTTTTTTCAAGACAGGGTTTCTCTGTGTAGCCTTGGCTGTCCTGTAACTAGCTCTTGTAGACCAGGTTGGCTTCGAACTAACAGAGATCCACCTGCCTCTGTTGCAGATTCCTCAGAGTTCTGTATTCAGAGCAGATTCAAGGCTACTGACTGAGATGGTCCAGGATTTTCAGGGGATCTCCCCTATCAAAGCTGATCTCTTATCAACCTTAAATGAATCCACAACCTTTCATTTTCTGTGGGAACAAAAGTGTAACCTCTTCTCCAATGCAACATATTATTTGACTTTCATTTTGAAGTTAAGACATTTTGAAAATATATAGGTTGATTTAATGTAGCAATTTCCATAATCCAATGTTTTTCATCAGCTATTGTGCATTCATCAGTAATCAAAAAATTGAGTCAATAAGACACTTTATAAGAGATCCAGACTCTCTGTGTATTTCTCATTTTTACATGGCTTATCCTTTTTATATCATTTTATTCTCTATTTAAAGACTTCATCTTATTATTTATAAACTATTTTTGATGACTGTATATACCCATTTTCTCTTCTTTTTTGAGCCTATGCACATTTTTAAACACGCTGTAACCTGTGTGGAGGTTTTTCCATCTGGATCTGTCTTTACTGTGCATCTGCAGTGTCCTCTGACTGCATGAGGCAAATCCTTGTTTGTTTGTTTGTTGGTTGGTTTTTTTTTTTGAGACAGGGTTTCTCTATAGCTTTGGTGTCTGTCCTTGAACTAGCTCTGTAGACCAAGCTGGCCTTGAACTCACAGAGATCCATCTGCCTCTGTCTCCTGAGTGCTGGAATTAAAGGCATGCACCGCCACCGCCCGGCCCTGATTATTATTCTTATTATTTATAGTTTTCATATGTTAGACTTAAAACTTTTTTTTTGCACCACCTGGCAAATTTTGTTTGGTTTTGTTTTGTTTGAGACAGGTTTTCTCCTGTTTACTGCCTTGACTGTCCTGGAACTTGCTTTGTAAACCAGGCTGACCTTGAACTCACAGAGATCAGACTGCCTCTGTGTTCCAAGCCTTGGGATTAAAGGTGTGCACCACCACTGCCAGGCAATTTTTTTAAGGAAAAGAAAAAGGCTATTCTTGCATACCATTTTCTAATACCTTGGGCAAGAGACAGCTCGTTTCTTGGGGGTTCTCTTTTGTAATGCAACCAAATAAATAATCTGTGGCTCCAGGGCTGCTAGAGGGGGTCAGGTAGGCACAAATGTACCTTATAGTCACACAGGGAAGTGTGAGGTTCCCGCTGCCCTGTTGTTCTCCTGTCCCTACATCCCAGCTCCGGGTCAGACTCCATAGCCGAGGCTGTTGGAGGAGATGAGACATTCAGTCCAAGAAGGCGGATTTTGCTAGAAGGTTCTAGATGGCCTGGGTGCAGCTGAACTGGGAGTCTAGGCTGATCCTGGGTGCTGTCCTGGCAGGGTTACCCACCGCTGACAAAGATCCTGGCAAGTTTCTTTGGCAAGCTGCTAGGACAGGAGCTGGACCCACTCAAGAACGTGCTGGTGACAGTGGGTGCCTATGGGGCTTTGTTCACAGCCTTCCAGGCCCTGGTGGACGAAGGAGATGAGGTGAGAGGTGAAACCCAATGGGGAGGGCTGAGCGCTAGCCCAGGGCAGTGCTGACCCCAGCTAATCTGATCGTTGAACCAGGTCATCATCATCGAGCCTGCCTTTGATTGTTATGAACCCATGACTCTGATGGCTGGAGGTCGGCCTGTGTTTGTGTCCCTGAAGCCGGTAAGGGATTCTGAGTGGTTAGGGGCCAGCCAAGGCCATTAAGGGATTCTTAGTGGTTACAGGTTGGTCAAGGCTGGTAAGCAATGCTGGGTGGTTATGGGTGGGTTGAGGGATGAAGATATGAGATGGGCTAGGTCCTGGGACATGGTACAAGGGAAGGGAGTCTTCAGAGCTGAGAGGGTGTGGGGGTAGAGTCCAGAACAGAAAGGAGAGAGATGGAGGCAGATACATCGGGGCATGAGCTGCTGTCAGGAGACAGCTCCTGCTGCCTCTCCCCCTCCTCTTGCAGAGCCCTGTTGCTAAGGGACAATTGGAATCCAGCAATGACTGGCAACTGGACCCTGCAGAACTGGCCAGCAAGTTCACACCTCGTACCAAGGCCCTGGTCCTCAACACACCCAACAACCCTCTGGGAAAGGTACCAGGGGTCCATTCAGAGACCTCC